CACCCACACATCAGACCATGACCTCCTCTCTGCCTCTGCATTCCTCTCCTGGCTGGGGGTGGGTTCTCTGTTGTGACTGTTGTTTTTGTTTGTTTTTTTTTTTTCTTTTTTCATTAAAGTTTCAAAAAGATACAAAGACATGGCACTAGTAATTGACTTCCATACAGCTCTGTTATAAGCTGTGTGTCTAAGGGAAGCAATACTATCTCAGGTGGCAATCACAGTCATTAACTGCGTGATCTGGGCTGTGTTTTTCATCTGCTTTCAGAAGGATAAGGGATTGCTGTGTTTATGCACAGTTATGCTATTAAACAGCTGCTGGTTTTGAAACCAAGATTTTCTGTCTCTCGGTTTGACAAGCTGCCCTTAACATTTAGCCTTCAAAATAGTTCAGATTGGAAGTGGCACCAGAAAACTGCTTAAAAAATTGTTGAAAATGTTAATGAAATGTGAACCAAAAATGTCATTTCTGAGATCTTACCTTCTCTTTCTTTTTAATGCAGGTGTCTGTGACTAAAGCTGACAGATCCTTGGGCTTTGCCATTCAAACATGCTTTGTTTCCCCGTTTTCAAATCCGGATAGAATGTCTGACTACACCATTATAGAAAACATTTGTCCTAAAGATGAATCTGTTAAATTCTACAGCACTGAGAAGGTGAACTTTCCGATACCACATGCACAGAAGGACAAAAAAAGATTTAGCTTTGTGTTTAAACCAATGTTCAACATCTCACTGCTCTTCCTTCACTGCGAGTTGACTTTGTGTACAAATAAAGAAAAAGATGCTCAAGGACTGCCAAGGGTTAGTAATTTATTAAAGTCTAAACTTCTGATTTAGGTGAAAATAAGATTTTTATTTTTGCCTGAACTTTGAAGTGAATAAATGGTTTTCTATGGAATTGATGTAATGAACATGATATCTATAGGCTCAAGATTTGAATAGATAAGAGTTATGATGCTATGTGTTTTGACTGCATAATTTGCAGTTTCTGTTTTAAGTTTCATTAGGTGGTTATGTGGGATAAATAGAAATTGCTTTTTATTATGCAAGTGATTCAGATTTATCTTTGCTATCTATATCACATCCATATCCAAAACGCAAACAGTGTTAGCTTTAATTTCCAAAGACATGCATATCAGATAATATTGCAATCTGATAGGTGCAAATGAGAATTGCCAAATTTTGCTTTGTAACAGATGGAAATGGCTGTAAATTAGTTGTTAAATAATGTGTTCTAAGAATTTGGAATTTATTTTTACTGTGGGGTTTATGCACATCCCCCTTAAAAAGTGTTTTTAAATATAATTTGTCATTGTTGATCAGCCCATGTGTTGGTGGCTACAGTTTTGTCTACCAGATTTAAAAAAAAAATATTTATCCTAAAATAAAATAATTACTACCATTGAAGTTCAATTGTAACACTCTTGTAAAGGTTAGAGGATCCTTAATGAAGGCAAAGGTTGCATCCTGAAAGACAGCTAATAATTACCTTTACCAGTACATTACATGGAGGTTGTTTGGACGCTCTCGTCTTTATTTTTTTTTTTTTCCCCCCCAAAAAAAAATAATATAAAACTGATAATGAGGCAACGCCGCTGTCCTGGCGGATGGGTGGCTCTCTAATCTCACTGTTTTTTCCACTCGCAGTGCATTCCTCCTGATGAAGCTTGCACCTCTCTCAACGTGGATATGATCTTGGCCATGATGCACAACAAGAAAACCTTCACCAAGCCTCTTGTAATAACACATGAAGGAAAACCAGAAGGTATGAAAATGAGCTTGAACTGTTTGATAAAGCTTATATGTATTATCTTGTGCTGCTTGAAGTGAGGGAGTATGTGGCACTTGGAGTATGGTACTCCAAGTATGTGGCATTGTATAAACTTGATGCGATACTGTGTTTGTATGGTGTTGTTTGTTTAGACATTTCCCTGGCAGCAATCATCATGGCAGCTCATTGCTGGTTTTTAACTGTCTTTATTGATCTCTGCACACGTGTTTTTGCCAGGCATTGAGAAGGGAACACCGTACTATACAACAATATGGGTTTCAGAACTATGAATATAGCATAGTGCTTCCAGCAACTTCGTGTTGCCCAGAGATGAAAGGCAGTGCTCTGCACCCTGCTCTATCATTTCTTTATTGTACTTGTAAATATATATTTAGGAATAACAACAATGGAATTACAAAGTATTGAGGATCCTGAAGCCTGATAAGTTTGTAAAGCAAAGGGCTGGCCACCAGAGAGAGACTTACTAGACTGTTAAACTATTAAGAGCAAAAGATAAGATGTATAAAGGTATTTTAGCGACACTTTGGGGCAGGCTGGTTTGATTATATAATCTTTATGGAAAAAAACAAGAGTGTGGCTAGTGACTGGTTGAAGGAGTTGGAAAGGCTGAAGAGCATTGAGATAATGCCAAACGGCAGAATGAGACTACTGTAGTTTAAGGATGTGCCCTGTGAGTGGTGGGAAATAAGAACTGCTTTCAGTTTAATGTAATTTGACAGTTTTTCTTAGTGAATCCCTCTGACAACAGCATCAGTCATGTTTTGATGCATTCGTAGAAGAAAATACATGTGTATTAACTTTTCTTTTTGTATTAGCATGGGAGTTTGATCAGAAGCTTCATGGGCTTCACATGCACATCAAAATCTTCCAGTTGTTTCCAAAAGCTGTTTGACCTTTGGAATGCTTTTTGGGGAGTGTCAACAGGATGGGGATCAGAAGTCCTTTAACCTCCATTGTACAGTGCATGCTTTTTAATCTTTGAACAATTTAAAGTACCATGCAGCATTGGTAGGGGCAATAAGCAACAACTGTTTCTGTTTAACTCTGCAAGTCAGCTCGTGTTTAGTTTTTGGGCTGTTTTTACAAATTTGTTAATACAGATCAAATCCGCTATGCAAGGTAAGTATTTGATTTCAGTGTGGTACAATTAAAACTATGCTGTGGGGCCTGATTCTGCACTCTTTTGCGAAGCTCTCATTTTTTTTAGTGGTTATTCTATTGGGAATGAGTAATCCTGCAAATGAAGTTCAGCTTTCAATAAACAGACTTGTACTATGAGCTCTCTTGCCCTTCCGATGTGTGGGGCATTGTGCATCTCAGGCTCCACTCAGAATGTTGTCTTTGTCAGAGGCACAAGGTCTTAGTGTGCAAAGACGAGCTAAATTTATAAAGATTAGTTACAAGACAACAGTATGATAGAGTATTTTGTTGTGTAGTGGGTGATGTAGTCTAATTGTGGGATGCTTGGTGGAAATCTCCCCAGCATATCACAGCTTTCAGAAATAATACAAAGTGGCACATTAACAACATAGCTTTGTTGGAATGCAGTTGTTCTGCAGTGAATTAAGCAACCCGTCTCTAAAAACCAGGTGCCGTTATTGGCCAGTACATAAGCCTAATATCTGGAGAAAAAGTTATATTGCATTACTGAACAGGAGAATTTACATCTCACTCTTTCATGTGAACAGGCCAGCTTTCATTGTTGTAAACCATACTATGTGAGTTACTGCCATTGGATCTGCTCTCCAAGCCAAATGTAGAAGTCATGCACTTGACATTTCAAAAGTCAGAGCAAACTGGTCATTGTGAAGGTGTCATCTTTTTTTCTTCAGACATAAGCTTATGACTGTCATTGACTGTAACAGAAACCTAATCTATATATCTAAATGAGAATAAGTCTTCCTCCTCTCCTAATTTTGTCAGTTATTTACAAGCTCAGTTGCTTACATTATTGCAGTAGATCCCAATGGAAGTGTCTAAAACCTAAGGCCATGCCACATTCTTTCCCTTTGCATTCCT